AAGCTATCCGCCGGCTTGGACCTCCGCCCAAGACTGTCTGGGAGGTGACGTATTGCACGGGACCTACCTTCCCGGGTCTTGGAGTCAGCCACCTGGCAACGGGTGGTTGGGGCACGGTTTCCGGTCCTGGTTTTCTACCCGCCGCTCGGGGAGACTAACTGGGATAGGCCCAAATTCTCAGACCTTGTCTGGCTGACCTGGGCAACCTAGCGGTGTTAACGAAGGGTCAGTTGGGCAAGGGGTAAGTATTCAGCCTCTCTGGGTCCACTAGGACAGCACGCAGGGAAGGTGGTCTGGGGCAAACAGATCTTAAATGAGCGCCCAGTCTTCTATCAGCACACACACCACAGTTAACAATAAAAAATCCAACTTTGTAAAAAGCAAAAAAGGCTAAAAATAGCGTTCTTAAAAATACAACAGCATTTATCTATAAAAAACACACTGCATTAGCTTTTATACAATATAATACTTTAAAAATAAATAACTGATTTGGGCATGGGACACAAGCCTGGGCTTGATCAACCTATGGCTGGCCGCCTCAGATGAGGGTGTATAGTGTTTAAAGGCCGAAACACCTGATGACTCTGGGGTACACTACTGATGATGTGTCCTAAAATTCCTAAAATTCATTAATCTACTCTACCACACCTGTTCGTTCTCTGACTTGCGGTCGTGGGAAGGAGAATGAATAGGTGAAAAACATAGGCCAAGCCAGGTCTTGAGGGTGCCCTGCTCAGTCTAGTGGCGCATCCCTCTCTTCACCTCTTTGTTCTTTGCCTTGCGATCCAGTTGGAAGAATCAAACATAAATACAAACCTAATGCAACTATGTCAACTTGCAACAATTTTCCAATAAATTAATAAATAAAAGGAAATTTACTCCTGGACAGAGGGACTGGAAGGCCCGATGGCATTGCTTAACAAGCGGCGGCCCGTGCATTACCCTTGATCTTCCTATCCAACCACAATTGTCTGATGACAGTTGATGGGGGAAGTCATTGTATGTTCCCCTAACCTAACCCTAACCCTAACCCTAACCCTAACCCTAACCTAACCCTAACCCTAACCCTAACCCTAACCCTAACCTAACCTAACCCTGACCCTGACCCTAACCCTAACCCTAGCCCTAAACCTAACCTTAACCCTAAAACCTAAACCTAACCTTAGCCCTAAACCTAACCTTAACCCTAATCCTAGCCCTAAACCTAACCCTAATACCTAACCTTAACCCTAGCCTTAGCCCTAAACCTAACCTTCGGGAGGCAGCGATCCGTTCGCAGCTGGCTCGCGCCCCTGGGGTGCCTAGAGACCTGGGTCCTGGTTTTTTATGTCTGATGACCGTTGATGGGGGAAGTCATTGTATGTTCCCCTAACCCTAACCCTAACCCTAATACCTAACCTTAACCCTAACCTTAGCCCTAAACCTAACCTTAGCCCTAAACCTAACCCTAAACCCTAATACCTAACCCTAGCCTTAGCCCTAAACCTAACCCTAAACACTAATACCTAACCCTAGCCTTAGCCCTAAACCTAACCCTAAACCCTAATACCTAACCTTAACCCTAAACCTAACCTTAGCCCTAAACCTAAACTTAAAAAACACACAGATTGGCTCTAAGTGATTCTCAGCTTGTGTTCTCAAGACATCTAACTACAGAACATAGTCCTGCCAGGTAGACGAAGGAGAACAAAACCCTCACTCAGCATCTCTAAATGGCTTACTGTCAACAAAATTAACATTAACCCAAAAAAAATCACTTTTTTTTAACGTACTAACTCGTTATTTCACCACAGCATATCAGAAACTGGTCTTGATAACTACTATATTCCAGAACACAAGTCATTATACTGAGAAAGTGTTAATCTATGAAGAATACAATTACTCAGTTTGAGTTAAAGTGTTTAAGGAGCTCTGGAACACTGACCCCAGACCAGCTCAGCCCCCCACGCTGTGACCATCACCTCAGCAGCACTTACAACACTGTTTATGACTTCACTCTAAATAACAAAAATCTACAATTTTTTGGGGTGATGGACTCGCAGCCTGTCCAGGATGTTTCCTGCCCTCCACCCAGTGACTGCTGGAATAGGCACCCCCCGTGACCCAGGTGGATAAGTGCCTTGAAATGAACAAGTGAATTAATTAATTAATTTATTATGTCTTCACTGCTACTCTTTCATCAGCTGAGTTTCAGAGTCAGAATATTTCTAGAACTTTAACTTCCTATTTGTCTTCAGCTGCTGTAAACTTGCTGTGGGTGATCAGAGTTTCAGCGTTACTGTCCTCAATGAGCCTCCTGGGTGACGTCATTTAAAGAGCAGCAGCCAGTTGCAGCAGCTGAACCTAAGCTTGATGGCAAGTTGGGGTGAAAAGTCCATCCCAAAAACAACTTTGACAGTAGTTAGTTTAAAACAAGCATCACACAGAATTTCAGTTGCACTAACGTAATCACTATTTGAATCTGCTGAATGACAAAACGCTACTGTTAGCTATTATATTTTAAAAAGGTCAAACAGCCTGAGCACTGTTGGAGCTGCTCTTATGGGCCCTTTTCTTACAAAGAGTCGTGGTTACTTCTGGTTTAAGCGTTAGTGGGGTAAGACTCACTTCCGCTCCATATAACTACTGCAGAGGCGATGAGAAAATGTTATAGTTGTGAACTTCAATGCTCAAACACTGAGCTACAGCAGCTATATTTCATTTTTTCCTGCACTGTTGTGACAAACAGCGGGAATAAGAAGTGGATGGAAGCACTGATTTAACTGTAAACAGAGCTAAAATGTGTGACAGCCTTGTTTTAACTGCAGTCGGCTGCAGCTGAATCACTTCAAGCAGTCTGTGTCTTTCTACAACACGCGAGCGATTTCTGTAATATTTCAACAGAACGAAGAACTTTTATGTGTAGTGTTAATTTGATAGATTTTGTTTATAATAAGCTGGCTATGCTGGCTAGAAGCTACAGCTAACAGTAGCTATTATCCCAAACTAGATTGCCCGACTAACATAAAGCAGCTTTTCTGCATCACCAGCTAATTTTGTTGTCACGCTTCCTGGTTCTCAGCCGGACTCCCAGACCACCAAGAACTCCACTTCCCAGAATCCTTCAGTCAGTCACGAGACTCTTCCAACCAATCACCAACCACCTAACAGATCACAGTCACCGGAATACTAATCATCATCACCTGTTGTACTCTGTATTTATACCAGTTTGTTTGAAACGTATCTTTGCGAAGTATTGCCCTTACCTAGTCTGTGCATACCGAGCCGTTTGTTTTTCTGATTGCTACTCCGTGTTTGACCTCGCTTGTTTTTTCGTTTTCGATTCTCGTCTCTGTCTTGGCTTTGTTGTTTTGGTTTATGTGCTATTTCTGGTTACGACCCTCGCCTGTTTTTTCGACTTCGCTTTCGCCTATGCCCCTGTATTTCGTCTGCTTGTTCTGGTTATTGGCCTGGTCTGGTGTTAACCCTGTTTACTCCCGTCAGAATAAATCTTCCGGATTAACTTTTATCCGCGTGTCTGATTTGCAAACCCTGCATTACATTTGTACTCATCTTTAAAAAGCTAATGAGGCAAAAAACCGTCAACGAAATGATTCTTACACGATCAGCTTGGTACAAACAGCTGACGTTAGCTGGACATTATGTCAGAAACCTTACGGGGCTCTTTCAGATCTCAAACAACTACCTGGCTTTGTCAGAAAATGGAAATCAAAACGTCGCTGCATAACCACAATGCTAAGATACGAGTTAGCCAGGAGAGGCATTGTTGATTGAGCAGTGAAAGGTGGATGTTTTGGTTTGCGTTTATAATATTAGAGAAGTCGCTGACATGCTGGCGCAGCAGCTAATGAAAGCTAGCTTCCTTGTTTGGGAATACAGCTACTGTAAGAAATGGCTTCTAGCGTAGCTAACTAGCTACATCTAAACAACATCTACCAAATTCACACCACATATAAAAGATCTTCTTTCTGTTGAAATATTACAGAAATCGCTGGCGTGTTGTACAAAGACACAGAGGCTGTTGATGTGAGCAGCTGCAGCAGCAGCAAACAGGGCTAAACCACACATTCAGCATTTTAGCTGTTTACAGTTAAATCAGAGCTTCCACTCTTTATTCCCGCTGTTTGTCACGACAGTGCAGGAAAACTAACATATGCCTGCTGTAGCTCAGCCTTTGGGCATTAAAGTTCACCACTGTAACACTTTCTCGTCGCCTCTGCAGTAGTTTTATGGAGCGGAAGTGAGTTTTACCCCGCTAACGCTAAAACCGGAAGTGATCGCGACTCTTTATGAAAAGGGTCCATTGCTCTGCACGCGGTTCACCTGCGTACTTTAACAGAGCCGCCCACCTGGATTCTGAACGACCCTGCAGAGAAGCCTCTCAGTGACACAGCGGGACTCGGGGCTCCTGCCCGTGTCGTGTGAATCTGCAGCTCTGTGATCTTTTCTGTCTCTGATCGATGAAAATCTGTCTAATCTGTTCTGCACAACTGCTTTACGACGCAAACGAGACGTTTTCCCGTCAATCAAATCGACCAGCCGGTATAACTTATTCTAATAGCTGAACTTAAACCGGCTACAGTGAGTCAGTCATGACTTCAATCTACGCTGAAATCGTGTTAGTTGGTGAATCTGGTTAAATTCTAGTAGCTTGTAAACCTGAACTTGTCAGTTTACGTTCAAACGAGGTTACGTCATGTTCAGCTGGCGCTGCAGGTCACAGTAAATCAGCCACAAATTACTGCCAGCTGCGCGCGCTGAACTGTAGCGTGCACAGAAAAACCTGGCCTTTTAAGTTCTGCAGTACAATTTTTTGGCCACAAGATGGAGACAAAACATCGACAGTCCACTCACTTTAAATCTATTCTATTATATAAATTTATTTTACTGAAATATTAGTATCCGCGCTCCACAATACACTTATTCCATCCTGTGAAAGGTTAAAAATATCTGGACAAAAACACAGCAAGACCAGATTAAAAACAAAATACAACAACAAATAACAGCAAACTCCAAATATTTTTATTAACATATAAAAAGAGTAAAATTCAGAAAAGTTCAATTATTCTTTATAAAACTATCGGCCAGTGAAAATACAAACAGATAAAGAAAAGGTTCTTACAGCGACTTACAGGCAGCGTAACATTCCTAAACATGGCACAGAAAGAGTTAGATATGCTGATTTACACTGTGTTATTTCTTTGGATTAAAACTTTCCTTTATTGGATTTATTTACAGGCTCTTTTTCTGACTGAACATCTTTAAAACATACATTCCTCTTTAGAAAAATAAAAGGAAGACTAGAGTGTGTTTTGGGTTGGACTGCATGCACACCGTAAAAACACACCCTTCTTTCTGCAGCGAAACAGTGTTAAGATAAGCTACACACACACACACACGCACACACGTGCACACGCACACGCACACACGCACACGCACACAAATCTGCAGGCCTGTAAAGGCACGACAGGCTGAAGAGAAAGTAGAAAACTGGAGGTAATAAAGATGTGAAAAGTGAAGAAAGTGTTTTCTGTGTTGAGGCTGTGTTGAGCCTCAACAGCAGAACTGACTGAACACTGAACATGACTGGAGATTCTCCGGCAGTTTGATGGACGATCTGACCAGAAAAACGTTTTCAGTAAAATTCAGATAGTTCAGTTCAGTTCAGTTCAGTTCAGTTCAGTTCATCACTCAGAGCTTCACTCATTTACACTGAAGAACTCTTATCAGTCACATTCTGGAGTGAGTGTGTGTGTGTGTGTGTGTGTGTGTGTGTGTGTGTGTGTGTGTGTGTGTGGTTCTCTAACCCTCCAGTGTAACTTTTACAGCCAAACTTTAAAGGCTTTTCTGATAGAAACAAATAAATTTAAAGCAAAACAATCTGAAATTTCACCACAAATGATCCAACAAACTGATAAACAGGTGAAACAGAGAGTTCATCACAATCAGTGTTTATGATTATAATGTACTTTATGAAATGTCTTTCTTTATGAAGTCCTTAGTTCAGCTGGTCTGCCTGATCAACATATCACGTAACCTTCATAACTCACAACACACCCTACTGTGACTCACACTGAAAAAAATCCCTTAATTTTATAAAAAAATATAAAAACAAACCTCAGTTCTGATCTGTAGGCTCTATTTGTGTTGGGCTCTGACTGCAGACTGAAAGCTCATCAGTCACTGAGCAGATATCAAGAGAAATTTACTCATCCTAAACAGCTCAAATAAAACCCACCCCTAAACCAACACAGTAAGAATGAGGTAACACTTCTGTCAAACTAAACACAAACACGCTAATTCTCTGAAGATGCTCTGTTTTTAAAGGGGAAAACCTGCAGATATAAACATGAAATCATTGACTCATTCTTCATGAAGTTCAGCCACTGTTCACAGTGATGGATTAACGATGGTCCCATCAATAAAAAAGGACAAAAACTATAATCCAGATGGGAAAAAGAGAGAAGCCCTGAGAGACGAAGAGAGTTTTTATAAAGAACCTGAGAAAGGAAAAGGCACATATAGAAGTTTCCAGAAGAAGGAAAGCAACCTTTCATCCAGAACAGCTCCGATTCAGGCACAGCTCCCAAAAACAGACAGAACACGGAAAGGAGGACACAGAGGAGGACAGAGAGGAGGACAGAGAGGAGGACAGAGAAGACAGTCTGAGAATCTCAGTAATAGTTAAATTTGACTTTTTCAATATCGCCAATCAGAGTTCTGGCCAGATAGATTCCCACCATCTAAAAAGAGAAAAGGAAGAGAGAACAGGTCAGTTCTACAGCATAATAATCATCATAACGACAGAACCGTAACGTCTGTGTTAGTGAGAATCTGTACCTGCAGCAGAGAGATGACGATAAAAACTCCAGCCACAATGTAAATATTCCGAGGAAGCCACTCCTCTAAAGCTGAGATGCATCCTTTAACATAAATCGTATTCGACCATTTATCCTGTTATGAACAAAGAAAAACAACTTTAATAATTGGATCATCTGATGGAGTCAAAAAAAAAGTAGAGCTGAGAAATAAAAACATGATCTCTTACCACCGAACCTAAAGCTCTGACATCATATCCACACTGAGTGTTCAGCACTGTGTCCTGCAGAGAGAATCACAGCTTCAGTACCACTGAACGACCCACAATTACTGAACACCAACACAGTCTGAGGATCCCTACATCACCATCCGAACAGCGACCTCACCATCTGAAAGGACACCTCACCATCTAAATCAACCTTGCTATCCGCAGTGACCTCACCATTTAAACGGCTACCTCATCAACTGAATGGTGATCTCATCGTCTGAACTGGTTAACTCACATCTCCACCAAAAACCAGCAGCAAATACAGAAAAAAAAATGATGCCGAAAAGTTAAACTCAATAAGCCTTAAAAATAACAAAACAGACAAACTGATTTACTGTCGGTCAGACTGATTAACTAAACTCCTCTGATTTATCTCAGCGCATGTAAAAGTCATTATAGTGTTTTAACGATTGTAAAAACATTAAACATTAAGAACCAACACAACACAGTGTTGGAGTGATTATAAAGCAATTATAAAGCGATAACGAAGTGATAATGGAATGATGACAAAGTGACTTATAGAGTGAATTATAGAGGCACTACAGAGTTTTTGTAAAGTGATGGTGGTGCAGCTGAAGGCTCTTACGGCCGGGTCACTGAGGCAGCAGGAGAACGGCACGCCGCATTTCTCTCTGCTGGGGTTGCTTTGGGAACAGTTGAAGTACACGTTCATGTTCCAGTCATTGGGGTCTTGGGCTCCGCAGCAGTTGTTCTGAAAAATAATTAAAAAGGTACTGCTGGATGATCCACAAACACTGCAGGTCGTCATTACAGTTCTCACTTCATAACCAGTAACAGTGAACATCAGAAAACACGGCAGGTTCAGTGATGATACGCTCAGCCTGTTTATGCTGGAGAACCGACTCCAGCAGCAGAACCCAGCCGGCTGAACGAGTGTTGGCCCTCTTTCTTTATTCTGACTAGGCTACTGCCAACTGCGTATCACTGAAACATAAATATATATACAAAAGCATATTTACGCAAGCCTGTTTCATTGAGTGGAAAAACTGAACGTTTCTGTGATGCTTTCATATTTTTACACAAATCAAAAAGGGACCGTCACCGCTGGAAAAGTTAGTAAATGCTTGTAGTGGCACTGAGTTCACAGAAAAACTGACTCAAAGCTTGAAACTGCACTCTGTGTGTGCATGACCGCTACAGCTGCTGGTCAGAGACCCCACAGACAAACCCCAACGGTGCGGTTACAACACTTTTCTACCACAATGCGTCTCACTTCTCACAGCTGAGCTCTCACAGAAAATAAACACAGGAACATAACAGCGCTTCTGCCAAAGTGCAGCAGCACTGAGTTTGTTTAACTGTCTTTATAAATTTCATCTAACGTGTATATAAAGTGAAAAACCTGCTGTGGTAAAATTATCTTTTTTTTTTCCACTGCAAAATTAAACACACCAAACAAAACATGAGGTGCTTTTATAATTGTAATAAAAACACAGGCACACCATTTCACCATCATCTGACTCCACATTTAATGAGAACTTTTCATCAAGGAGCTACAAAATCAAAACTAATCCCAAATATAGTAATAGGGAAAGAAAAGAACGTTACCAGCCTCTGCAGGGAGTCGATGAGGTTCTGCAGGTCGATGTCGTCTCTGTAGGCTTTCACATTGGCCAGAAAGAACTCACTGATCCACCCCTTTAACGGCTCCTGGAACACGATGGCCAGCACGGCCGCTGTCAGCTCCAGAAAGAAGATAAATCCGATGATCCCTGAGAACTGGACAAAAAGGTCAAAGGACAAGGTCACGTGGTGGAAAACTGGTCATCACTGGGCATCTTGGTTGCAAAATAAAAGTTCCTTATCTTATAATGTTCTAATGAAACATCTGGCTCTCAACCTGTATTTGAAACACTGTTTTATAAAATTAATGAATATCTCAGACATTAAAACACCGGAAGAGCTCAGCAGTGACAGTGGTGTAGAAACAGCTCTCAGGGTCGTACTCACAAATTTGAGGAGACAGATGTTTTCCCTGAGCGCTCCCACGCAGCCCGCGAACCCCAGCACAAACATCACCGCACCCACCACCAGGACCAACCACACGGGGTCGAAGCCGTGCATCCGCGTCACCTGCGTCAGGTCCGACAACACGCCCTGCGGAGAAACCCACCCAAAAATTCACCCTCCGCATTTTTTTTATAGATTTACACCTGTGTCACCTGCGAAGCCTTAGATCCACAGCACAACATTTAAAGTCTTAACAGGTTCTAACAGACGAGGCGTCTCACACCATCAGACTGGTTTCTGCAGATTTTTGGGTGACTAAAAATTGATGATCGCCCACTAAATGATTAGGGATCACACACTGCTCAGCTTTTAAGTTGTTGCTAAAGTGAACTGAACTCATGTTACTGCTGCTGGTGTTTTCTCTGCTGTTGGCGCTGATACAGTGTTGACGTATACACACTCACACGCGACTCGATTCTCTCTCCAACAGTTCACTCTGCAGATCAGCTCAGACGCAGACTGAGAGTCGGGACTAAAATCAGGGTAATAGTCGTGTAGTGTAACTCAGCTTAATATAAAGAGAAATCACAGCAACATGATCATTCTGTTCTCCTTTTCACAACCAGGTTAGTCCCCAAATTAACAAACTGACACAAACATCTAAAAATCCAGCATTAATAGAAAACTAACATCTTTAGCAGCACTTCTGACTGAAAAGAGTCTAATTTGTGCTGCAGTGAGAAAGACCACTGCAACACCAGACGTCTGCCAACCTGACAGCTGAATATAACGAACTAATGACCACTAATGGCTGATCAACCACAACTACTCACCTTCTCGCTCCACGCCCAGAAGCCAGCAGCAATAAAAGCAGCTCCGGCCAGCTGAGGAAAAAAAACACAGTCATGAGTCCATCATACATCACAGAACCACCAGCAGCAGAACCTGAGCGGAGATCACAGCAGGGCTGCATGATGTGGATGTAAAATGCTGCTGGAAACCACGATGACGATATGAGAAGCGATAAATTACTACAAGTACAGACAGCTTTCTGGATGTGTAAACAGAAAACTAACTAACTTTCTTTAAACCATCTGTAAACAAATACAAAATACAAATACAAGGACTCTGGGGGGCGCAAGGTCGCAGCTTCAGTAGCCCAGTAGAAAAACAGCAGAGCCTGAGCAGCCGGTGTGCTGCTTATTTCCCCTTTAGTGCAGCTGTTCTGAACTGAATCTCCACAGTTATGGGGACATTTTAAGGTCTCTGTATGTTAAGTGACCCTTATTAGTCCCACAGCGGGGAAATTTCACCCCCGCATTTAACCCATCCATGCAGTGAAACACCACATAAACACTAGTGAACACACATACTAGGGGGCAGTGAGCACACTTGCCCGGAGCAGTGGGCAACCCTATCCACGGTGCCCGGGGAGCAGTTGGGGTTTAGGTGTCTTGCCTAAGGGCACTTCAGTCACATACGGTTGGCTCAGGGGATCAAACCGGTGACCAGTTGGCAGTTGTTGGCTGTCTGGCTGAATGGTGAAGTTACTCATCTCCCTAACATTGTGTGTTTTACAGGCTGTAGTTCAAGACGGTAGAGAGTCTGAGCTGCTGTGTGTTTTGTATTTGGCTGTTCAGCCTGATGGTTGGGTGTTGGTTAGTCACTCGTGGGACTGCAGGCTTCAGCTCAGAGAAGCAGCTGTAACGGTTTGTGCTGTAATGTACTGACGGCTCTCTGCCGCCAAGTGTGTGAGGTCATCTGATCTGTTCTGCTGTTGCCGTTCTAACGATGCGTTTATCGCGGAAACTCATAACGCGTTAACAGTAAAAATATTATTTATCATGCAGCCCTTGATCACAGCAGGTCCAGCTACAGGACTCCGGCGCCATACACAGTCCGGTCCTTTTAAAACATCGTTATAGAAATGTGCAAACATGTTATTAACTGCTCTAACAAACGGGTCTTAAAAGCAGTAACAGATTATTTACACATTTTACTGAAATCACTCATAGTGAAACATTTTGAGCAATAAGGCGATGTGGAGGTTCAGACTGCTGTGGTAAATCAGAGCTCACTCCGGTTTCAGCAGGTGTGTTTCTTGTAGCCTTGAATTCTGACTATTTTCTAGCAAATCACAGCCTTAAAGGACGTGTTCAGAAAACAGAGTGAGATTTCAAACATGCAGTCCTGTCTGGAAATCAAAAACTGTAAGAAAAGGTGCTGGATCTGCTTTATAGTGTCGACTGAATGAATCCAACAACAACTTCAAGGCCCACCTTTCACCCCTCGTCCCAATTGTTGTTGAGATAGAGGGTGAAGTGCTGGGGCTACATGACCCTCCAAACAGAGGTTTTTCAGAGACACTTCAAACAGAGTGTTATGAAACAAAAAAGGAAAAAAAACGGTAAGATGGAGCACAAGAGACAAAAGAAACCCACAAATGTAAATTTTCTCTGTTAAAAAATTACAATAATCATTGTATTACCTTAGTTTAATGTCATTTGTGTATTTAGTTCTGACGTCTCGATAGCCAAATAAATTTCCCGTTCCACCTTAAATGGTTCCATTTAAGGTGGAACGTGAAAATTCTAACAAGAATCTGGTGAATATCTGACTTCAGCTTCATATCACTGAAGAATTAGGGGTGGGTGATAATAAATAATTGCCCCCTCTTTGAAGGCGTATGATGCCCTAAATGTAACTAAAGCCCAGCAGTGAGGAGCTGAACTTTACCCTCCTCTGCTGTCACTGCAGACTGGCAGAGTCGTCTACAGAGCAGCGCTGGTAGCTGTTAATGAAGTGATGCTCTTTTTATTTGAGGGTCCCATTTCAGAGGAAGATTTCAATCACTTAAACAAAGTACATGTGTTCTAGCTGAAACTAACGGTGCTTGCCAAGCGACTGGGGCCATCACAGCCACTTAGATAGTTCTTTTTCATTAAACAGACGTCCTCAGAGCTCTGAAGGACGACTGAGAGCTGCTGAACGTGTTGATGATGCAGACAGAGCTGATTACGACAGCACTGCTGAACAAACCTTCTCCATTCTGTGGAAAACAGCACTCAGAGCAGCTCATCTCACCACGCGCTCCACCTCCCCTAAGTCCTCTATTTCCTGTTGACACATCAGCCGTCTGTCAGGAAACCAAACCCCGTCGGAACATCTCTCAGAGGAAGTGAAACCTCAGAGTTCCAACAATTCAGACCAGCCACAGCCTTCGTAAAGCTGCAGAAACACTAAGGCTGGTTTAAACTGAGTATACAGCTGAACAGTCTTATCTGAGCACCACGATGGAGAAACGGGGCTGTGTTAGAAAATAACAGAACAGTTTGGGTTGGGATTTTTATTTATACGCTACAAAACAAACTCCTGGACCACGACAGCACTTACAGCTTAAACCCGGTCCAGCATCACTTCTTTGAAACAAAGACATTCAGACAAACCCAAGAGGGACTCCAGTTGACCAGCGAGGAGAACATTAGAGCAGGTTGACTGCATCAGATGCACCACTGAAAACACAGACGCCACAACTTCTTTACTCTGGATACCAACTGCAGTGCTGCAGCACCGTTACTATAGAAACAGCACGCTGACAAAACCGACCTGCTAAACGTTTCACTGTGTATGAAAATAATTTTTAGATAAATAATTCAATTTGTCGTATGACAAGAATCATCATTTGATCACAGCTTCTCCTCAGCAAGTGCTCTGGTTTCAGATTAGACTTCTGAAATCTCAATCCAAACATCTAGCAGAACATCCAGAAGAACACCTGGCAGAACATCTAGCACAACACCCAGAAGAACAGTCAGACAAGTCAGTCAGTGGAGTCAGACGAGGCATCACAGATACTTTTGGCTTATTGATCTCCGACAGGCTTTAGCGTGGTGCTGATAACTCACCCAGAAGATGATGTTGTAGCTGAACATGAGGTATTTGTAGCAGCAGCTCACCTCCGCGCTCTCGTATCTGTAATAGTGCATCTTCCAAACCTGATAAAATAAAGCAGAGATTTCACCTTTAATTGAATCTCTTTTAATACTGTTTTTTTCTCCTTGTGAAATGAACATCCTCATCTGATTTAAAGGGGAACTCCACTGATTTGTCAAAATTCCATATTATTGCATGATGCCATTGTTGTGATGTAAACAAAGTCACTCAGAGTGACTGATATGAAGTAGTCTGCTGTAGAGAAACTTAGACTCAGAATTCTTTACAGTGGTGGTGATAGGAACCAGGGCTCTCCATGACTAAACATGTCTTCTGAGTTTATATGGAATGTTGATGATGGAAAATAGTGGAAAATCTGAAATAATAAGTTTTCTTTGGGGACTATTTTGCCTCACAGCGCCCTGCATGTATCCCTCCACCATGAATGGAGTTTAAGTTCTCAAAACTATCATAAAACAGTGTCTCAGTCATCAGGCAGTGAATTCATAACCATTTCATGTAGGAACTTTCTGTGAGGGAGCTTTTAGAGGTGGACGTCAGGTTCCTATCACCACCACTGTGAACAATTCTGACTCGGTAAGTTTATCTAGAACAGAGCGTTTCACACCAAACCCCTCTGAACAACTCTGAACAACTCTGTTTACACTGTAACCGTTTAATCATACAGTAATTTTGAAAAATCGGTGGAGCTCCCCTTTAAGCACATTACTGTATTGTCGCTGAATTACACTGTATGTCTGTAGGAAACAACATGCAGATACGAATTTCTTTAATCAGATTACAATAAATACGTTGGACGTTTCAGCTTTAACTGATTCTCTTTTCACACTGTTTCATTCTCTCATTAAATAAACGTCCTCATCTGATTTAATTCTGACCTGTGTGACCTTTCTGAATGTTCAGGACCTCCTAAAATCTGAACTCAAATTCTGGCCATCAGACTCAGCTTTAAAAGCATATTACATCTAACATTTTATATACATATATACATCTAATAACATTTTGTACGTCATTGTCTGACTAATGGGAAACAACGTACATTTATTAGTATTTAACAGAGTCTGGCTATAACGACCACTTCCAGCTGTAAAACTAACAAAGCACTGAGTGATTATTTTATCAGGATTTCTCCACATTACTACAGACCTTTAACACTAAAACTAGCCTTTATTCAAATCATTTGACTAATAAAGCATTCGGCTTTTCAATAACACTGGCTAGAAGAGAAGCTAATGTCAGCGCTGTTTACATTAGCTTAGTGCTATCTTAGCTTCCTGTCTAAATAACTAAACTCTGCTTAAAATAAAATCTACTTGCAAATAAAATCAGCGAACAAATTTAGACAACAAATAGTCACATCTAACCTGAGTCGCTCAGCTGCATCTTTACGAGGCTTTTGTTTTTAATATTAAATTAATCAAACATTTATGTAGCTAACATTAGCTTAGCTTAGCTAAGCTAACTTCAATACGGCTAAAGCAAACGAGGATTGATCTGCACAGGCATTAATCTAATTAAATTTAATTAATTCACAAAGCTCAACTACACAGAATATACACGAACGATAAAGAGAAAGTCTTTGAGTCCGATTTCACTTCAGCCGAACACTTTAGTTGTTCGAATTTTCCGTTCCACCTTAAATGGTGCGCTAGTTACATTCTGATACCTCAGGCGTGATAACAACTGCTGCACCATTTAAGGTGGAACGAGAAAAGTCGAACTAAAAGCTGGCGAATACGCAGCACACTACAGCCTCGTTAGAGACGAGTCTGTTTCAGACCTTTTCTACAAACAGAAAAACAAAAAAAGAAAACACGACATTAATTAGTTTTACAGAAATTTAAACCCACATCAACACCAAACACTCACCGCGGAGTTCGCGCTGCCGCCGCCGAAACAGAGAGGATCTGAGCCGGACACAGACACAGACTCAGCCGGGCTGGACTGGACCTTCCCGCGGTGGAGCTCCGGATTAGAATTAGGATTAGGAGTAGGATTAGGATTCGGATTAGGGTTAAAGTGAGTTTCGGGTTGAGAGCGTCGTCTAACTGTGTTGTGACTCTCTGATTTCCTCTCATGTAAGAGAGCCACGCCTTAATGTCTCAATACAGCAGCAGTTAGAGTTCAACAAAGAGCAGCACAGAGACACGGCAGTGTTCGCAGGGCAGACAGGAAACAGCGCAGCTGCAGCTGTTAGATTGTTCGCTTTATCCGCATTATTTACATCGTTCACATCACGTGTGTGTGAGATACGAAACAGAAAGGAAACACTGATCTTCGCTTTACACTTTAAAATACAGGCATGACGGGAGAGAGAGAGATTAAGGAGATCTAGGGTTAGGGTCAGGGTTAGGGTTAGAGGTTCTGAATATTTCTACTCGTGTTCGCAGATGCAGATGTTTTACAGTTTGAGTGTTACTGCTCAGTTCATCTGTTCACATTAATCACCGTTTAACTTCTGAGGAGAATTTAAAACTGATACAGTGAATAAATAAATCAGAGTGAACTGAATCATAAACACAATGCTAAAGATTTCCTAAACATGTGGGAATAACTGCAGAGGATTTTTAATAAGTCTTTATTAATGAAAGTGCAGCAGATAAATTAAAAAGAAAACAGGTGAAATATTTACATCAAGCTGTGAGATTCTAGTCTTTAAATCAAAGCAGTCATGAGATAAATACAACAAATGAAAATAAACAGAACAACAGGACAGTATAACCAGCAGAACCAGCTCTGATCTGATTTCAGCAGCGTTTCTTTTCAGTGAAAGAACATATTCACAGTAACTCACAGAAAAGCGGACGAGATCAGTAATCAGTGTTTACAGCGATATTCGCTGAGGTTCTTCTATGAGTCTCTGTCAGTCTCTCCTCTGAGTCTCCATGTAAATGCGTTTTGTGCGTCTTAGCAGAGGTTTAAATCATCTTCAGCAGTACATCGGTTCGGTATGAGCAGGGTGGTCTCCGTCCCACCCTTCTCCTCCCTGAAGCTCCCCCAGGATCTCCTGCAGGGACAGTGCGGGCAGCTCAGGAACCGGGCCGTGATGGACACTTCTCTCCTGCTGGTCTTCGGCTCCAGCCCCTTTGGGCCTCTGAGAACAGAAGGTGCCAGAGGCCGGCAGGGAGCGGTCCTGACCCTCGTCCCAGCAACGTGAGTCCAGGGGCTGGAGAGTGGAGGGTGGGGGGCAGTAGAAGGCCTGACCGGAGCTGGAGCTGAAGGACAGTAATCTGAAAAGGACAAATATAAGATATATAAACTAGACTTAAGATTATTTCACTAATAATGTCATGTTTGCTGTATGCAGTCCACAGTATGCACTGTGCAGTGTTCAGTGTGCAGTATGCAATGTAAGTGTATATAGATGCAGTGTAACAGTATACAGTATGCAGTGTGCAGTGTTCAGTAAGCCGTGTTCAGTATGCAGTGTCCTTCCAAAGAAAGCATATGAGTGACCCTCGATCATACCTGTGAGCCCAGTTTGGGGTCACCTGTTCGGAGGTGACGAGAGGGGGGCTGAAGTGAGGGTTGATGGACCTGCCCTGGCACCTGTACGGAGTTCCGTAGCCTGAATCGTCACAGATGCTGGACGAGGATGGAGAGCAGCGCGTGTAGTAACAGTCCTCCTCCACCTCCTCTTTAATCGGGCCGGGATACGCGAGCGGTAGTGGAGGTGGTGAGGGTAGAGTGGAAGCGCTGACCTCTTTACTGGTCAGACGTGGTTGAACCGATGGACTCCGGGTGCCTCCGTAAGACCGTGAAACAGTATCCATCTGCCATGAAGATTTCTTACCGCTCTTACACTTTAATGTTCTAGCTCTTCTGTTCTGAAACCAAACCTACAGAGGAATGAGGAGGAGACAGTGATGTTAACACACAAGGATACAGTCCTGAGGTCAGAAGAGGCGTCTCAGTGCCCAGATAGGAGAGCTTCAGTTAGTAGGTTCAGGTTAATTATTTTCACATGACAATCTGCAGAACACAGTCAGAGCATCAGCCACTATCTGAGTGTCAGCCTCTTCTGTTTACGCACTGAACAAACTGCCGAAGAAAAGTGAAGATAGACTCACAGTTGCATCATCTCAGCGCAGCTCGAGCAAACGCAGGTGATAAAACTGTCAGGACTATCAGGAATGGCTCCGCAAGAGACGCCGCTCGCTGCAAAAAGTGATGTCTTGTCAGGTGAAATGATCTGAAATCTAGTCTGTGTAACCAATAGTTTTTCCTGGTGAGAGTGTTATAAGCTTATTACACGATTACTTCACTTATTTCTAGATAGTTTTACCTGTTTTAGTTGATTGCTTCTACCTCTCTCTCTCCATAGCGGCGCTGATGCTTCAGTGTCAGTAAATGTTTGTTTTATCAGCTGTTCTTCTGTAGAGTCTCTGTTCTAGTGCGGTTCTGCGCTCTTCCTCACACTAACTGAGATCTTCCTCGTCTCCTCTTCTGTCTTCAGTGTGTGAAATGAGGAACAGTCACTCTTCACTCCAAACTCTTAGGAAACTGGGCGAGTTTTCAGATTTACAGATCTGCTGCAGCTCATTGTAAAGTTTTTCAGAGGAATCCGGGCAGAGTTACAGTTTCCAGGCTATGAAGGACCAACTGGGTGAACCAGTCTGCTACAGCGCCACCCTGAGGCAGAGCAGTGCTGCAGATCTAGTTAGTTAAGAACACCAGAGACAGAAGCTGTATTTTGCACTCTGTCTGTAGGAATGTTGTATGATTACTCAGCTAATTTCCTGCCATGTTTGGCTTATTTTTAGTAATTTTTGTGAAACGCTGTTTATGCTCTGGTGGATGTTTTGACTTTTAAGCACTGTTTCCTGAGAAAAGCAGAGTTATAAGATCATTTCAGCCTCAGTGTTGCCATGTTGACCTCTGACCTCACCTGTATGCGAGACTCGGGTAGGCCGGTGGTCTGCGAGAGGCTCTCTCTCAGGCTGATTCCTGGGTAAGGGTCCGTCTCAAACGTGGCTCGCAGAAGCTCCACGTGTTCTTTAGAAAAGCTGGTCCGTTTCCTGCGGCTGGCTCCTCTGGACACGCCTCCGCCCATGCAGACCTGCTGAGGAGCTTCTGCAGGACACAATGACCCTTTAGAGCTGCAGATGATCAATAACTTCACTGATAGACTGAGAACATCCCTCGCCCTGCATATCTAACATCACCATTACAGTTCAAAGATAAGGGTCTGATACGAAAGTGCGACAGAGGCTGAAACTGTCTCGGCTCTGTTTCTCCTGTTTTCTTTTTATTCAGTATGTAGTTCTTAATCTCCGTCTGAAGCTCTTTCAGATTTTTAACTACAGTGAAAAGTTCATGTAAATAAGCATTTATTATCATTATTATTATTATTATTATTATTATTATTAAAAACATTTACAATCAAACAAACTATGCAGGCCAGTAAATTCATTATTACCATCATCATCTGTTATAATATTAACTATTACAGTATTGTTGTTATACGCTATTACAGTACAAACTGTTATTGCAGTGTTATGACAGTGTTATGGCAGTGTTATGCTGTGTTGTTGCATTGTTATTGCAGTGTAATAGTGATTACAGTGGTGAGGGTTGTGGTGTGCAGTGCAGTTCAGAGGTGTTTGGTTGTCTGAACAGTCTGAGCAGCTGTGTTTTCATTTCAAGACTGTTTGTTTTAAAGCTATAAAATCTGTAATAAATGTGCTGATTTACCACTGCTGTTGTCTCTCCACATGCTGCTCTCTCAGGCCTCTCCTCAGCGCCTGCTGATAGACCTTCACGTCCAGAACCGCTCCTGCTGAAGAACCGCTCCTGCTGAAGAACCGCTCCTGCTGAAGAATGTTTCCTTCTTCTGCTGCTTTAGACAGTTTGGTGTTTGACCCCTCCTGACCCCCTTTATACCTGTGGCCCTGGACCGTATCCCATGATTCCTCACTCCTTCCACAGAAGCACTTACTGAGTGATATGGAGGGTTGATAGGAGACTTGGTGTGGGGGGGTGTTGGGGGGTGTTGGGGGGCTGTGGGTGGGACGATCTTTGGCGTGTCCTCCATCACACAGTCAGCCACATGAAATGCAGAACAAAAGCCAAATATTCATTTCAGTTACTCGTCATTCATTAAAGAGTAGATTAAAATGCAGCTTTAAAGGGTTAAAAAATTATAATTAAAAACGGAACTTTCTGTTGGTCTCATATAAAAGCCTCTGTCAGTGTTTGTTTATTTACTTATTTATTTACTTACTAATTTGTTTGTTTGTTTGTTGTGCCTGTTCTAAAAAGTAAATAATGTTGTGTACGTTTAAATGTAAATAATCAACACTGTTTGTTTTTGTAAAGGTTACTGAAAGTAGTTTAATGTTTGATAAACGGTGTAAAAGGCGTCGGGAGGTAATTCAGGGGTTTATTTGCTGAACTGTTAATCACTCAGAGCTGCGCTGTGTTCATGATCAGTGAGGTTTATTGTTTTGGATCTGCAGTCAGACATTTTAATCAACAGAACAAAAGACTGTAAATATAAGCTCACATTAGTGAAGCTCTAATGGCTCTCAGGACCTTTTTAATCTCTTCTGCACTTAATCAGGGAGAGAGAGAGGGAGAGAGAGAGAGAGAGAGAGAGAGAGTACAGATAGAGGAAGAGAGAGAGAGAGAGGATACAGAGAGGGAGAGAGAGAGAGAGAATACAGAGAGAGAGAGAGAGAGAGTACAGAGAGAGGAAGAGAGAGAGAGAGAGGATACAGAGAGGGAGAGAGAGAGAGGAAGAGAGAGAAAGAGAGAGAGTACAGAGAAAAAGAGAGAGAGGATACAGAGAGAGAGAGAGAGAGAGAGAGAATACAGGGAGAGAGAACTATTTTAAACTGTTAGTTTAAAAAAAAACATTGTATATAACTGAATTTAAGTTCAGTGATTAAGACATCAAATTCTATTTCAAAGATTCATTGTAACTATTTATTTTATTTATTTCCAATTATTTTTCTCATTTCAAAATATGAATAGTAACACACTTCAGCTTGCACAGAATGACATCTTTTCGCATTTCTGTGTGGAATATTCAAGGTTTAAACTCCTCTTTATTTGGTTTAAAAAGTAGAAACCCTGATTTTTTGAAGGAAGTAAGAAATGTTGATATTAATTTTGCAGGAAACGTGGTGTAGAGGAGACAAACCCACTGGTTGTCCCCCAGGCTACAGGGAGTTAGTGGTCC